CCCAAGAATGGGTGGGGAGCCAGCACGGGAAGAGCATTCCAGGCAGAGAGGACAGCACGGGTAAAGGCCCTGGGGCTGCTTGGTGTGCATGAGGGTGGCAGTGGGACAGAGAGCACTAAACTCCGGGGCTGAGGAATGGTGGATGTTGAGAGGTGGGCAGAAAGCACCGAACACATAGCACTCTGAGAGGAACTTGCCTCAGGGGCCACTTCCCAGCTGGGTGACCTGGGGTGAGTGACTTAACCACTCTGGGCCTGAGTTTCATCATGGATAAAATGGGGATAAAAATAGCAACCCGGGGGCCACCTGGTGGCCTAGCAGTTGGGTTCCCATGCTCCGCTTCCATGGCCCGGGGTTCGCCAGTTCAGATCCCGGGTGCGGACCTACGCACCGCCTGTCAAGCCATGCTGTGACAGGCGTGCCACATATAAAGTAGAGGTAGATGGGCACGGATGTTAGCTCAGGGCCAGTCTTCCTCAGCAAAAAGAGGAGGATTGGTGGCAGCTGTTAGCTCAGGGCTAATCTTCCTCAAAAAAAAAAAAAAAAGCAAGCAACCCACACAGGACTGGGGATGGCACAGTACTGGGAGCTGGGCCTGGCGCATGGTAAGCCCCCCAGAAGCGCTAGCTGCCACTATTGTTATTATCACTGTTATGGACGGAGGAACCCATAACAGGAGATAGAGCCAGGCCCAGAAGAAAGAAAGCAGCCTGGAGGGCAGGCCCGGGGTTCCGATCTTTTCCTTCCCACTCCTCGCCCCCACCTCTCCCTGCACCACTTCCCCACCCCCCGATCCGGAAGAGTCTGTGGCTGGCGGAGGCCCCGGGCGTGGATGCCGTCCAGGCCCCACATGGGAGCATCTGTGTCTCCAACAGTGTGGCCACATCCTAGAGAGAGGGCTCGAGTGCCCGGCTGCCCCTGCGGGTGGCTCTGAACAGGAGGGGGCTGGCGAGTGGCCCAGGGAGGCGTGGTGACAGCCAGGGGGCCACAGGGGCCGAGCAGGGGCTGCGAGGGCAGCAGGGCTGCGTCCCCGAGCCTGGGGACACAGCGTTGCTCTGCGTCCTGCTCCCGGCTCTGGCAGGGCCTGGGCTGGGCGGGCAGTGACGGGCAAGGGCAGGAGCGGCCGGGCGGAGCCAGGGACTCGGGGCTCAGGGACCCTGCGCCAGGAAGCCCTTCCTGCCAGGACGCCCCCGGTCGCTGCGCCCACTTCCAGCTGTGCTGAGGCAAGCCTGGCTCCTCGCGCTCCACCCCCGACCCACTGGCAGGTCCCAGCTGGCCACCTGCAGACACACCTGGAGTCGGACCAGCCTGCACCACCCCCGCGGCCGCCCGTCCCTGCCCTGTTTGGCTGCAAAGCCTCCTGACTTGATGGGGCGTCCTCACCAGGCTTGCTCTGACCACAGCCATCCTCCGTGCAGCAGCTGGGACAACCACACACTGCACAGAGCCAGGTGGTGTACCCAGCCCGTTGATGACTGCCTCCTCACCTGGGTATTAACCAGTCCTCTCTGACCTGGTGTCACCTGTCTGGCCTCCTCTCCCACTTCTGCTTCCCACCCTTCCTCTTGGGGCCCCTTGCTGCTCTCAGCAGGCTCCCACCACAGGGCCTTTGCACCTGCTGTTCCCAGGGCCTAGAACACTCTTCCCTCAGAAGTGCACGTGACTTGTTTCCTCAATTCATTCGATCTCTGCTCAAATGTCTTCTCAGTGAGGCCAGAGCAGCCCCAGTAAAGTACTAACTCGGACCCTCCTTAACCAGCTAAGTTTCTCTACACAGCCCTCACCGCTAATTTACATACTTCACGCTTACTTGTTCATTTGTTTGTCTGAATCCCCACACTGGGATGCAAGTTCCTGGAGGGGAGGGTGCTTTCTGTTCTGTTCCCTGGTGGATCTCAAGCCTCGTACAGGGCCTGGGGCACAGCAGGTGCTCAATAAATAGCACTGCATGAAACGAGCCACAAGCATTCCTTAAGCAAGAGACCACCACCCCTAGGACCACGGTCTCCTGGGCTCCTTCTTCTGGGACTGACCTTTCTGTCCCTGGAGACACAACGTCAGGAGAGGGGTCATCTCCCGCAGGGCACCTTCAAACCCCTGGCTGGGGTTTCCCTCTGGCGGAGCCCAGGAGAGCAGAAGAGTGGGAGGCAGGAGGCCGGAGCTGGGCTTCCTTCTGGCCAGGGCACTGGGGCGGGTCACATCTCATTCACTGGCCAGCAGGGGCTGGTGCTCTGCGCCGGCAAGGGCCGGGAGCACCGGGGTCTCTCCAGGGACTTGGCATCTCAAATACTCGGGATGTCTGCTCTTCCAGCCCCTCCCTCCCCGCCATTCTAACATTAGGTGCTTGGGGAGCGGCCGGAGTACGTAATCGGGTTGCTGGTCCAGCGCACGAACCGTCACAGTGCAAACCGCCTGCATCTCCGAGTCGCTGTGGAGACACCATCCCACGCTGGAGAGAGGAACAGGAGTGGTGGGCTGAATGGTGGTCCCCGAAAGATGTGCGCAAGGCCTAACCCCAGGAGCCTGTGAAGACGACCTTCCTGGGAAAAAGGCGCTTTGCAGAGTAATCAAGTTAAGGATCTTGAGACGAGATGATCCTGGATTTAGCGCGGGCCCGAAATCCAAGGGTTCTTACAAGAGGGAGATCTGACAGACGCAGGCCAGGCCATGGGACCTGGAGGCAGAGACGCCAGGGCACGCAGCCACCGCCCAGGACCGCCTGGGGGCCAGGAGCAGGAAGAGGCGGGAGGGACCCGCCCCCCCCACACCCCAACCCAGCCTCTGGAGCAAGTGGGGATCCAAGATGGGAGAGGATGAATTTCTGTTGCATCAGTCCCCTAGTTTGTGATGATTCATCACAGCGGCCCCAGGAAAACCCCCCAGGAGGGAGTGCAGGGGCTCGAAACCTGGCTGAGGGTGACTTCGCTGAGGATTACCTTCCCTCCCAAGTTTCAGGTTTGGGCTTTGTGGGCTTCCGCCCAGCTGTGCACCGGCTCCTGGGAGCTGGGGAGGCGGGGCGTGCCTAGGCACAGAGGCGGCTCAGGGGTGTGGTTGGTGGCGCCTCCTCCTGGATCCGGGCACCTGATCCCTCTGGGAGAACATCCTGGGCCTGGAGTTTGCCCAGGGTGGAGTCGCCCAAGGGCAGAGAGCAAAGGGCAGCACGAGGTGCAGCCTGGCCCTGCTGACCCTCCCAGCCATGGCTGTGACCTTGAAGCCCCAGGAGCTTTGCTGTCAGCCCTGGAGGCTGTTTAGAACAGGAAAACAGACTGCACGGAAGGGATGTTCTACCGTCACGGGCGAGGGGCCTCGAGCATATCCGAGTGCACACAGACGCGTGCGGCTCCCCAGGAAGGCGGTGGGAGGACGCCACGAGGCCAGGGATGGGAAGGGGGGCACATTTGCAGACCGCTCCCCACCCCGCGGAGCTCAGCATGTCACCTGCATTACGTTACGGAGCCTCTCAGCATGCCCATGAGGGAGCTGCACTTGGAGGCATTTTACAGACGAGAAACTGAGGCAACGTGACCTTCCCAAGGTGAGCCCCACAGTAAGCGGCAGGCCTGGGGTCAGAGCCCACAGGACCCCAGTCTTGGCCGAGCAGCTGAGAAGGCTTAAAAGGGGCTCCTGACCAGCCAAGGGCATAGGAGTGTGGGGAGCAGAGGCCAAGGGCTTGGGGCTGGGAGCAGAGGCCAAGGGCCCTGGGGGAGCAGAGGCCAAGGGCTCGGGGCTGGGAGCAGAGGCCAAGGGCCCTGGGGGAGCAGAGGCCAGGGGCTCAGGGGAGCAGGGCCAAGGGCTCAGGGGAGCAGAGGCCAAGGGCCCTGGGGGAGCAGAGGCCAAGGGCTCAGGAGAGCAGGGCCAAGGGCTCAGGGGAGCAGAGGTCAAGGGCCCTGGGGGAGCAGAGGCCAAGGGCTCAGGGGAGCAGGGCCAAGGGCTCAGGGGAGCAGAGGCCAGGGGCTCAGGGGAGCAGGGCCAAGGGCTCAGGGGAGCAGAGGCCAGGGGCTCAGGGGAGCAGAGAGAGAGAGGAGAGCAGGGCTGGACAAGCAGTCAAGGACAAGGGCCAGTGGAGCCTGGACACTGCCCGGCCCAGCGGTGCGCTCTCGTGGTGAAACTGGGATGACCAGGACTGGCGGGACTGGACTGCTGCCAGGGATCTGATTCAGGGCTGGGGTGGGGGCTGGGGGAACAGGCACGAACATCTGAGAAACAGAAGGAGCTTGGTGAGGCCTCAGTGTCCCCCGTCGTGGCAGGCGGATGGCCCCTTGGGCCTCCGTGCGGGGTCTGGAGTTCCTCTGCAGAACTGGCGGGAGGCCCACAGCATGGAGCGCACCATCTCCTGGGGGCTAGCCCACCGTGTGTCAGGCTCTGGCCCGACCCCGGAGACTCCGAGTCACAAACCTAAGACTATCTGTGGCCCGAGGTGCCCAGGTCGGCCTGCCACCGAGCCCAGGGGAGAGCCACAGGTCCAGAAGGACAGAGGCAGGAGGGGACAGCTGCCCCTGGCTGTCCTGTCCCCCGCCCCCGCAAGTGGCAGGCAGGTGGGGAGCAGCAAAGGGCTGCTCCCTGAGGAGGTGGTGTTGGGAGTCAGCGAGGGGCTGGCGCCCTGAGGAGAGCCCCGCACCCGGGCCTGTTGACGATGGCCCACGACGTGTTTTGAGCACCTTCCACATTGGAGGCGTGTGCTAGGGCCTCCCACAGAAAAGGAGCTCCGTCAGCCTGCCAGCAGCTCTGCGTGGGAGGGACCCGCGTTAGCCCATTTTACTGCTGGGGAGACGGAGGCTCAGGGGTTCCAGCACTTTCCTGGGATCCCACGACGGCAAGTGTGGGGCAGGGGCTCCCATCCAGGCCGCCCGACTCCACAGCCCACATGCTTAACCGTCCTCACTCCAGGGCCAGAAGGCCAGAGGGCCTGGCCACTGCCCCTCTGGAGCCCCCTCCTCCTCTCTGGCCACACCAGGCCCCACACCAGACCCTGTTGCTGCCCACCGCGGGCCCCTCCTTACCTGATGACGAACAGGCTGGGTGCTGTGGGGCTGACAGGGGACCAGCACTGGCCAGGAGGAGCAGGCACAGTGGAGTTGGCCCTCCCCGGGGGGACTAGCCCCCCTCCAACTTAGATGTGGCAGCTGGAGAGGTGGGGGACCAGAGGCCAGGCCGGCCTGTTTGTCGCATCACAAAGTCCTGCTCTGGGCTGGCTGGGGGCTCCTGTCAGCAGTGGGACGTCTTAGAGAGGCTCTGTCCCCGGGTCCTGGCCGGGCCCAGCTCCCTCTCGCTGCAGAGGCTCCACCAGAGTATCGGCAGCCTCAGTGGCTGCACCTTGCAAACAGGCAGGCACCCCCTGCTCCAGGCGTGGCCCGGGGCCCAGGGCCGAAGCTCTGTGGGACTCGGTCTCCTCGTCTGTGGTGTGGGAGCGGACCAGGGTACCAGGCCTGTGGGCATCCTGGGCGTCTCAGACAGGCGGCTCTCCACCCTGGGGACAGGCCAGGTGTCCTCTCTTTACTTGGCCTTTCTAGACAGAACTGCAAAAGGAGAACCAAGGTCACACCTCATTCAGAAAGGAGGCCGCTGGAGCCAGCAGGGCCCAGAAGCACGGCCACCACCCAAGCAGCTGGCCCAAAGGCGGAAGTGAGAATGGCCGGGCGGAGGGGGAGGCCGCCCAGACTCCAGGATCACCGCGGCCCCTCGGAAGGGCCTGCCAATCATCTCATCCAACCTTTCCAAACTTGCCAGCAGCCAGAGGCTTTTGATTAAAAAAAAATCTCACCTGGAATACCAGTATGAAAAATTCTACGTTGAAAAAATTATTTTAGTGGTTTACATCTGTTTTATAACTTAAGAAGGACACATTTACTTGTAAATTCAGGAATGGCCACACAGCTCATAAGTGATGGGGCCAGGACTAGGACCTGTATCTGGGTTCAAATAAAATATGTCCTGGCCTTGATCCTCATCAATAGTCCTTTGCAATGATGAAATGGAAAGCAACAACGGTATAGAGCCACTATATATGCCCGAAGGTCATCAATGCAACACAGAGGACTGAACAGAGTCACGGCCGGGATCCTGTGGCCGGCCGGCGAGTTAGCATGAGAAATGAAGTCAGGCGTATATAATTCAGAAGCTGCACCCATGCCGCGGGAGCTACGCGGTGTCCTGCAATCATCCTGGATTTCTGCTGGCGGGAAGGAGGGACCTGACAATTGGATGGATGTCCTTCCCTCTCACCTAATCTCGTCTACCTTCTGCTCAAGTCCACCCCGTGCTCTGAAGCCATGTTCATGTCTGGCGGCGTCAGCACGACCCGCCAACCTGCCCGGCACTGGGGCGCTCTGGTCTTTTGATTCCAGGACGTAAAGCAAGAGGTGTGGGGAGTGTTGCTCTGGGGCTCGATTGCTGTCAGGGCGCGAGTGGAGGTTGAGTCTGGAGGGACGAGGGGCCATGTGTTCATTAATGTGTTTCTCTCATGAGTGTTTGCGATGTGTAGGGGCCCCCGTGGTGCGGCCCATGGCCGGCTCCTCCTGCCTGGGTCTAAGGCTGGTACTGACTCTTGAAGTTGTTTTTAATACATCACATTTGTCTTCAGAAGAACTTTAGCTGTCAGCTGCTTCATTGGAGGTGGTGGCTGCAGGATTCTGAGGTCTCGGATAAAAATCTTAACTTTCAGCACCAAGGCCGTTGGAAGCCAGCGGTTTGGGACGTCCAGTGCTCTTCAACGAGCTGGCCTGTGCCTGTGGTTGCACGGTACTGAGAGAGCTCTGAGTCACGCAGACAAAAAGCTGCAAATCATCTTAGTTAGAGACAATTCTCAGTGTGTGCTTCAGCTCAGCAGATTTGGGGAGAAGCCTGAGCTTCACAAGGTTGAGGTCCCCCGGGTCACAGCTGACAGTTGGTGGCTCCAGTGAGCTAGTGTTGATATATCACATTTATGAATAGGCTGTTTTCACTGCAGTTACAGATAGTTAGAAATACAATTTTTAAGTGAAAGCTTCATAAAGCATTCCTGGAATTCCCAAGGCCCACAGAGCCGGCCAGTCCCCCACATCACAGCACCAAGTGGTTGCCAGGTCGCTCTGGGGAGCCGCCCACCTCTTGACCACGGAGGGCAGCTCCTCTGGCCAGGACGCTGGGGTCCGAGTCCTGACCGCTGGGCTCTCCAGCACGCCTCTGAAGACCCTGCCTTCAATACGCCCCGGGGAAAGGCGACTTTGTGTGTCCAGAGCCAGGGTCCTTCAGAGTGTTCCCCGAAGTGTGGGATGGGTGCCAACTTGGCGGCTCCTGGACATAGCTATCATCTCACTGGATCCTTTTCCAATTCTCGTTCTTTCCAAAGTCTGTAGAGGACTGTGAATCTGCTTACTTAGTGCATCTTAACACTGCCTCATTTATTCTTCTCTCTTTTTTGAGAGACAGAGAGAGAGAGAAGGCAACCATATCTAACTAGAATTTAATAATACTGTTTTGTTTTTATCATATTAGTTTTTTACTCTTAACTTCTATCTGTGGGCAAGAAATACTGATTTTTTTTTATTATTGAGTTATTGATAGGTTACAATCTTGTCAAGTTTCAATTGTACATTAATGTTTGTCAGTCATGTTGTAGGTGCACCACTTCACCCTTTGTGCCCACCCCCCACCCCACCTTTCCCCTGGTATCCACTAAACTGTTCTTGGTCCATAGTTCTAAATTCCTCATATGAGTGGAGTCATACACAGATTATCCTTCTCTCCCTGGCTTATTTCACTCAACATAATTCTCTCAAGGCCCATCCATGTTATTGCAAATGGAATGATTTTGTTCTGTTTTGCAGCTGAGTAGTATTCCATTGTATATATGTACCACATCTTCTTTATCCATTCGTCTGTTGATGGGCACTTAGGTTGCTTCCACGTCTTGGCTATTGTAAACAGTGCTGCAATAAACATTGGGCTGCACAGGACTTTTGGGATTGCTGACTTCAGGCTCTTTGGATAAATACCCAGTAGTGGGATGGCTGGATCGTATGGTAGTTCTATTTTTAGTTTTTTGAGGAATCTCCATACTGTTTTCCATAGTGGCTGCACCAGTTTGCATTCCCACCAGCAGTGTATGAGGGTTCCTTTTTCTCCGCAACCTCTCCAACATTTGTTGCTATTAGTTTTAGATATTTTTGTCATTCTAACGGGTGTAAGGTGATATCTTAGTGTAGTTTTGATTTGCATTTCCCTGATGATCAGCGATCATGAGCATCTTTTCATGTGCCTATTGGCCATCAGTATATCAAGAAATACTGAGTTTTTATTTACGGCAATGATATAAAAAATGGCGATGGTGGTCACCGAATGACAGAGGTTTGAGGCCATGACCCCCCAGTTTCGCTGGGTTTGTGGTCTGGGCTCCAGGCCTGAACAGAAAGTCTTCCGTCAGCCTGAGTGGAGACCCCCAAAGGGACTGGAGAGGGGGTCCTCTGGGACATTTATAAGTGACCCTACCCAATTCAGTCAGTGACTGCCTGTGGGGGAAGCTTCACGAAAGCCACCACAGGCCACTGCAGGGCTCTGAGTGTTGTCACTTAGGCCTTGAGAGAGAATGGGAGCCTGTTGGGCGGGGTCTGGGTCCAGGGGTAAAGCCCTGGTGGGTCACCTGTGAAGAATGCAAGTTAAACTCCCAGTTTGGGAAAGGAAGAGGCAGCTGCGCCATCTGGTGGCTGATGGGCTGGGCAGCGCCCATGATGACGGCTGATTCCCACACAGTTGTTCCCGGCTCAAAACCACTGTTGGCATCGGAACGCGTCTCTGACCCCGAGTGACAGTGGCCCGAGGCAGAACAGGATGCATGGCTCCTCGCCTGCCCAGCCATGGCACTGACACCCACCAAGGGGCCACACATCTACGAGCTGCGGGTGGGACTCCAGACCTGCCTTGAAGGGTCAGCATCCGGGTTCACAGCCAGGCGTGTGCCCCACAGCCTCACGTCACGTCCGGGGGGATTCGGGGACAGCTTGGGGGAGGTGGAAGTGAGACTCAGGAGAAGGGAAGTGTATCTTTTCTATTTCCCTTTTCGTGTCTAAAGGGAACTTCCCCTGATAGGTCTGGGTCACACAGCAGCGCTGTAAGAGCAGGAGCTCCTGAGCCAGCCCCTCTGGGGGGACAGATGTCAAATGGGGACAATGACGCTCTTTCACAGGCTGCTGTGGGGTCTTCCTGAGCTAAAGCGACTCAGATCCCGCCTCCAGGGAGCGGCGCTCAGTCAAGGGCAGCAGGGGTGATGGCTCCTGGGCTGGGACTGGATTTGGAGGAAGTGGGATCTTGTGGGTGCTGGGGGGCCTGTCCCCTGTTCTCATGCAGCACCCCCAGGGTGGCAGGACTCTGTGGGGAGACCCAGGGCCAAGCGCCAAGCCTGGCCACAAAGACGCTGCATGTAAGGGGCTGCGAGGCTTCGGGTGTGGAACATACCAGGGTGATGAGCAAGGTCAAAGCCAGGGGTCTCCCCAGTCAAAGCAGGTGTCTGCACAGGAGGAGGCCCCAGGACTCATGCCAGCTGTGCCACATGGGTGAAAAAGACAAGTGTGGTCCTTGCCCCGAGGAGCCTTGATCTAGGGACACACACACACACATGCATGCACGCACTCACACACAGGTGAAATTGCCTCACTGTGAATGCTCTGGGAAGGACAGGCCTGAAATGCTAGAAGGGCAAGTAACAGGGAGCCTGACAGTCAGGGAGCCAGGGAAGCTTTCCGAGGAAGGGGCGGTGGGTGGAATGTGGAGGATGAGTAGCCTTCCCTAGGAAGGGTGGGGAAGAGTATCTCAGGTAGAGGGAACAGCAGCTGGACAGAGAAGAGAGGGCTCAGGATGGTCCTGGAAAGCCAGAGAGGAGGGGGGCTCTGGAGGTCCCCAGGAGGCTGGGGGTGTAGGGAGAGCTGAGGGGAGAGAGGGTTTGACTGAATTTCAGAATGATAACTCTGCCTGCTCGGGTGGAGAAGCATCTGGAAAGGCTCAGTGTAGACACATGGGCAGACCCGTTGGGAGGCTATTTCTTGCGTGAGATCAGCACAGAGAGAAGGCCGCCTGAGCTAGGGAGATGGTGGTGAGATGGGAAGTGGCTTGTCCAGGGGCCTGGGGGCGGGTGGGATGTGGGGAGCAGGGGAGCCAGGCAGCCAGCAGGACCCCTGGGTCT